AAAGTACTTTAAACTGTATAAATAATGTAAAATTAAATTGATTTAAACTGCCAATCATACGAATGTCTGCCTATGAGCTAGCGATAATAGTGTATTTGTAACATCCTTACGAAACAAATTTGTTAGTGAAACGTTACTTCCTCAAAAAGTAGTTTAAACAGTATAAATTAGTTACCCGGGCAATCAGACAATCAAAAAAATTCATGTTGTCATTTAAAAAATTTGTATTACCATTCACAGAAGTACAAACTATCCGAAAAAAATAGTACAACATTAATAAAATTTAAAAATGCCCCAAATTTTCATTTTTTTTACTGTATTTGTGAAGAAAAAAAAAGTTGCCAATCTTATTTTACATAATTATTTAGCTTATCGTACAAAGTTTGATAATTTTCTATAAGGAAAATCGTCATTATGAATCAACAGGTTCAAGAGAATCAACAGGCTCAAGCGAAGCAAATTAATCAACCCCAACCTCTAGTATCTCAAAATCAAACGAAGCAAATTAATCGTCCCCAACCGCTAGCATCTCAAAATACTTCTATTTCTGCACAATATGAGAACTTAACTAATGACTTAACTAATGATATGAATCCATTCTTTAAAGACCAACTAGCAGCACAAAACACAACTAATGGTATAGATCCATTCATTGTAATGCTTTTGTCGGGGCCTTCATTTCCATAAAGAAGCTATGATTTTTCTCAGGAATTTTCAAAAGATATAAGTTTAAATTTTTCCTTTGAATGTTCGACTATAGATCTTACTTTCATATATGCCATGTACTTTTTTAAAAATCTTCAATTACGCATTTTATTCTTATGTATATTAAGAATCGCAGATAAATTATGAAATTTCCAGTCAAATTTGTCTGGAAAACGGTTTAAGGGATAATTAAAAAATTTTATGCAGATTTTGTGGCAATATTCGATCAATTAAGAACTTTCCACTTTGATTACCAAGTTAATTTTTGCAAAGATTTAAGATTTTTTCGCCGTTTAAGATAATATTCTGGGCTGGCTTGTAATTAGTAAATTAAAACTAGTATTTAAAGCGAAAAAACAAAACAGATGTTTGTTATAAAAGATTCATTATACCTCTCGAGACATTGTATTGTTTTTTATATTTCACATTGTTCTTTTTTTTTATTTGTCACATACCTTACAGAATATTAACGTTTCTTTAATTTTTGATATTGAAAATGAACCGGAAACGTAACTTATTTTAAACACTTGGATTAATAAATTTCCTTTGTATTCACTTAAATAAGAAAATTAAATAATATTTATGAACTTGTGTAGCTTGTTTAAACATATTATTGTTACAGTATTTGAATTATTAGATAAAGTCAAATAGTATGATATGTTAAATTAGCTACTATAATTCTGCATAAAGGGTTTCTACATAAAAATTTACACGGTTGAGATATGGTAACAGATTGTATAAATTTGTATGATTTTAGCAAGTAGGATAAAAAAATATGCAAAAATTTAAGTATACAAAGTAGAATTTAAACTGTACTGAACATTACATGAATAATATCTTTATTTAATATCAGTTTTTAACTCAAAATAATGTTTAATAAAATTGTAAGTGATTAAATAACTATTATAAGAATAATATCAATTCATATTAACAGGGACGACGAACTCAGTGTTGAATATTGGACCAACTTTGTTCCATTGGACCTATAAACTAGAAAATTGGCCAATGGATCGTGTAAGTCTCATTACAATTCATTACTGATTTATAAAGGTGACCAACACTGATGTACCTATTTTTGAAGGTTATTTTTTCTCGCAAGTATTAATAAGCTTATGACTCGCTAAAACTATTTATGGATTCCTTTACTCCGAATTAATATTCCTTAGTTTTAACTTTTTACAAATATCATTACATTTATGGTTTGCCAAAATACATTTTCGAATTCCTCTCCTTCCTAGATTTGTTATTCCAAATCTTAATAAATCAACACAGTGTATAGCTGGATCTGTTAACAAGAACTCATTATCGAGATCAACTCCTTGTAAATCATAAACTACCAAATATCCTTCTGTATATTCATAAGTGAAATGGGCAAATGCTTCAAGAATAGAATGAAATTCTGTAATTAGACCGCTGTTAACATTAAATCGTTTAAACTCTGCATCACTGATATATTTTTCTACAGAGTAATAAGTGTTGTCTGTCTTATCGCATAAGACTTTTACATCAATAAATGTAACTTTTTTATTAACACCAACTTCCTTGGCCGCTTTATTGAATTCTGTTGAAAGAAAATATGCAACGCTAGAAATTTCCACTGATTCCAAATACCGTTCTATGGTACCTTTTTTAACATTATGATACTTTTTTATCACTAATTTATTTGCTTGTTCAAGATTTGTATCAAGAGCGAAATAAGCATATCGTTCAGCACCGACGGAGAACGGTTGCGGTGCAAACTTGAAAGTTATGTTTTGAACTGTAAAGTTTGAATTAATAAAATAATATTCGTCTTTAACTTCAGCAAGAGTTTTAGGTAAGACATAGCATAAAAGTTCTCCTGTTTTCTCTGGAAGAGTAGTCCAATTAGGTTCATATGGATTAATTTGAAGTTTCTTTAGTTGTAAAGAGTAAATACTTTTCGAGTTCCTTAAAGTCGTGGTTAGTGTAACAGATGAGAAAATGGCGGAGCAAGTAGCCTTGCAAAATTTGTCGACTAATTTCTCTGGATTATTTACTGTACTATTAAGATCAAATACGGGAAATTCACCAATTGTTTCACGGAATACTTTAAGCATAACTTCAGTTGAATCATTAATCTTTCCGAAATGGTATAAAATATTTTTTGATTGCATTTTCTTTAGTACGCTTTTTGCAGTTAGACCTTTCGGATCGCCTTTTGGATATTTGTCACACAAGGTAGTAAACTGACGACCATGTGGTGGTGCATCACCAATATGAATAAGAACACGAGTAGCATTGCTCCATGTCATCTGAGTTATCGCTGCATTAAGACCACCTAAGACATCTTCTGGAACATCACGACTACTGATAGTCACTACTTTGGTGGTAATATATATTTTAAATTTCTCGAGAGAGTTAGTAAAATCAAAAATCTGCAAACGACGATCACCAGCGTCGTGATCACGATAGGCACAGAAACCTATCCAGAATTTGATACTTGAATTATAGCTGTTTACGTAACTAGCCACATTTAATATGTGCTCTTTCGCAGCCTCGATATGTTCAGCCATAGATTCTGTACAATCTAGAACGAAGCAAAGATCAACATTCATTGAATCTTCAATATTAATGACTGCTTTTGATACATCATTTTCTCTGTTTTTTCGTAAATATGTAACTCTGTCAATTAGTGTTGATGTATTACTAATTTGTCCTGCTTCTTTTTCATAGCGTCTGAGACGTTCTTCTAAGAGTTTCTTGTTACCTATAGGCGGTCCAGAATTGCCAATGGTAATGGAAGATAAAATTGTATTTAGTGGGTCATCATCGTGACAGTTACCTGTGCTATAATTATTTCTTTTTTTTTTATTCTTTTTTTTAAACCACGGTTTTCCAAAACAACTTAGCATAATTCTCTTATATCAGTATGTTAAATTAGAAAAGCTCTTCTCTTATTGTTCGGAGTGTAGAAATGGATAATTTAATATATATTAATACTAAAAAAATATCATGTTTCATACTCCGGTCATCTGATGACTTACCTGCATATTTGTGTAACAAATTGATATACATTAAAAGTATCTTAATGTGTATATTTATATTTCGATAACGATAACATTTTCATCAAATTACACAAATTGACGAAATCACTTTTTTAAGTTTTTGCTTAAAGTCTTAGTCATAGTACATGATATTTCTCAAAAAAAACTGTTTAAAATTTACACTTAGGTGATATAAATAAAATAATTGGTTTTTATACATAAGATAAATTTTTGAACCCGGCTAACTAGAAGTCTTTTATATAACAGTCATGGAATATGTCACGCCGGGTGATAAATTATAATAAAAAACACATAAATTTACTATAAACTAAATCCTTTTTAACTTATAATTTATTTTCAAATTTTGGAATTAAACTTGTCAAAAATAGTATAATATAAGATTATGTAAATTTTACTAATAGAATTATAAAAAAAGAAATTTTACTGTAATTGCATGTAATTTTACGCTGAATAAGTTTACTTAGAAGGGCAAATTTTTGAGAATTTATTTAGAACTCATAACTATAAACAATGAAGTAATTAACCATCATATTAAATTTATTGGTAATGTACTATTTTATTTATATAACTGATCTGAGTTTAAAATCAGAATAGAGATATGACGCTTTATAAATTTGGTTGGCTCATCCTTGCCGTATTTTTGCCGCATATGGATTATTATTTCTATTCATGTTGTGATCAACGTAAATAATTTCTTCACAATTCTTAGAAAGGAAATTTTTTTACTCCGTTTTTTCTTATTTTGTCGGATTTTTTACCGGTTTGATGGATAGATAATCATTGATCTTTAAAGTTTGTATCGAAATATTATCGTTATTAATTTTTTCATTATTATTTATTAACCAAATAATTTTTTAAAAAAAAAGCCCCCAAAAAAAAGTAAAGAAAAGAAATGGCTATTTCGGCCAATAATTCATTTAGCTACTAGGTTTGGTAAAGACACTGTAAATATTTATACCTTTTTAATTTACTATTCATTAATTAAAAATAAGCCACACAATCATGTGTTAGGTTTAATTTTATATGATACACATGATATAATAGTTTTTAGCTAGATAAAATTACTATAATACATTAATTACGCTTTATCTTGCACTATTTATTCAATATTAAACTATTCTAATTTATTACCCTATGTGTATCCATGGATTATTTGATTTTAATTTAAAGTTAATATTATTGTGTTTGAATATTTAAATCTTTTAGCGTGATGTTCTTGCAAAGTGCATCTGCTAATGCTTTTCTTCCTTTTGATCCAAGATTAATCCTTTGAAGATTCAAATTTTTCAGTGAGATATTCTTGCAGAGTGCATCTGCCAATTCTTTTCCTCCCTCTGGTCCAAGTCTATTATTACAGAGATTTAAAGAAGTCAGCACTTCGTTACTGCAAAGTGCAACTGCTAATACTTTTCCTCCTTCTAACCCAAGACAATTACCATCGAGATCCAATGAATTCAAGGTGGTGTTCACGCAAAGCGCACTCGCTAATGCTTTTCCACCTTCTGATCCAAGACCATTATAAGCAAGATTCAAAGAAGTCAGAGTAGTATTTTTGCAAAGTGCACCTGCTAATGCATTTCCTACTTCTGATTCAAGTTTATTATAGTAAAGTTTTAAAGAAGTCAGAGTAGTGTTCTTACAAAGTGAATTGAATAATGCTTTGCTTCCTTCTGATCCAAGATTATTATATCCAAGGTCCAAAAAAGTTAGCGCTATGTTCTTGCAAAGTGCAGCTGCTAATGCTGTTCCTACTTCTGATCTAAAATTATTACAACTAAGATCTAAAGAAGTTAGCGTGTTGTTCTTGCAAAGTGCAGCTGCTAATGCTTTGCCTCCCTTTGATCCAAGATTATTATACCCAAGGTCCAAAAAAGTCAGCGTGGTGTTCTTGCAAAGTGCAATTGCCAATGCTTTTCCTACATTTGGTCCAAGATTATTGCACCCAAGATTCAAAGA